AGATGATCCGCGTTCATAAAGCGGAACATCCAGATGAACATCCATTCAATATTCTCCCTTACGCAGTTATCTGTTATAATAATACCAAAAATAAGACACACGGATTCACACCTTTCGAATTGATCTTTGGCCATACGTCAAATAGACCCCCTGAGACTCTTTATAATCAAAAACAGCTAATATCCAAATACATACGAGACCTCAACAACAGAATGGAATATTATTATAGAATGGCTCGTGCCAGAACCGATATCCAGAAAGAAAAGTCGAAAGTTAGGTTCGACAAGACGGTCTCACAAAATCTTCCAGAATATAAAGCAGGTGACAAAGTGTATGTCAAAGAAAATGAAATAAAAGACAAAGCCCAAAACCTCTTTAACGGACCTTTCGAAATAATTGAAGTTTATAGAAACTCAGCGAAAGTGAAAAACCTCTAAACAAATCAATTTTCTAAATTTAACTTTGATAGACTAAAGCCGTTCTATGACTAGTATATTCTTTTCCAGACTCGTCGGGCTGATTCCAGTCGTCACCCCTCAATTTCTTCTAACTCCAATTAACAACACAGTTGGAATATTCTATCACGAAGAAGGTAATCTCAGAGTCTCAAATGAGAAATGGACCCTTTTAGTTTACAAAGAAATAGAATCATTCAGAGAAACTATCCAGAACAATAAAAATATTCTCACTAGCCTGACCAAAATAATTGATGACACTTCTCCTCGAATGACAGCCTTCAAAGTTGAAGTTCAAACTCATTTCAGCCTTTTAACTCAAGTTGCTGATTCAGTCGACCAGAAACTTAATGAAATCACTGGCGACACAAACTACAGAAACAAACGTGGACTAATTAACGGAATAGGAAGTATCTTTAAATCAATCACCGGAAACTTAGACTCTACCGATGGTGAATACTTCAACAAATGTATTGACAAAATTAACACAGACGAACGAGAACTTGAAATTTTACTAAAAAACCAAATTTCTGTAACCACCTCAGTAATAAAAAATTTCAATTCTACTATTCAAGAACTCCAAATCGATGAAGAAACATTCAACATCGATATAGCAGAAATCAAAGAATTCATATCTGACATTTCGAACGATTTAAAGTTTTACGAAGCCCAAAGCAGAACTCTAAACCTCTGTGAATCATTAATGGAAGCTACGTCTTTCTAGAAAATTCTCTTAATAACATTCTAGAAGCAATAACGTTTGCACGTTTAAAGATCTTACATACCTCAATTATAACTCCTAAGGACTTGGTCGCCTCCTTACAGGAAATATCGCGCTCTTTGTCCAAAAATAACCTTCCTTTACCTACATATCTTCCATATGTAGCACGATACCTGGATATAATTGATTTAGAAGCTTATCAATCAGAAGGTAAAATTGTCTTTATTCTTAGAATACCGCTGATCGAACCTGAAATATACACTCTTTATCACATCTACCCTATCCCAATTTTGGATAATCGAACAGGTTTTCATCATATTTTACCAATAACTCAAAAATATATCGCGAGAGACGACGATTCTTTATTGTACATATTACTCCAAAGCCTGGATCACTGCAAACCTCTTGATAATAACACAAGGATATGTTCTGACCTTCTACAATACCCAATAGACAGTGATGCTATTTGCGAAGCCCAACTCCTGAAGTCAACAAGAACACTTCCCAAGACTTGCCAAACCTCAATCTTACTCGCTAGTGACTACAACGTGCAAGAGCTAGACACAAACTACTGGCTCATAACATTATCATCGTCTCTTCCAATAACTATCAGATGTGATGGCAAAAACAGTGTGACAGAAACAATCAACACCAACACAGTGCTCAAGCTCCAACCAACCTGCAATGCCTTTGTAGGAAACTCCAGAATTCATGCTAGGAATCTAGCAGAAAAATACAGACACGTCACCTATAAAAGCCATCCAGTGGAAATTCCCTATGATTGCTGCAAACACCTGCCGGTGGATCTTCATGTGCCACATTTGAAACCACTCAAACTATCTAAAATCAACATCGATGATCTAAACGTGGCACAGCATAGACTAAACCAATTTTCCGATGAACTGGATAAACTAATCCAAGAACCATTCGTATCAAGACACAGCCAATGGTTCACCTACTTCATCATCGTACTAATAGCAGCTCTTGTAATCCTGTACATTTGTTGTAAGTGTCGGCGAAAGGCACCTTCCAAGCCTAGCCCTATCGACGAAGACGAACCACAACCGCCGAAGTCTCATTCACGTCTTCAAATAGGCAACAACCTTAGAAAGCTTTTACCGAAACGAAGAAACACCGTTCTTTCAAATCTACCCTCAGAACAAGAGATGACCAGTCTACACAACAACCCAGTTGGTCTTTGAAAAAATTGTTGCAAAGCACCAACTTTTTACTTAATGGGGGAGCTGTTATATGGATTTCGCGACTACATTGACCTCAAGACGCGTTTCATCACCATAGTGGTACAAAGTATTACAAAGTCTAGATGCTACTTCAGCAAGTTATCCTGTGAGAACATGTCACGCCAAGAACTCTGGTCCATGGTCGCAACGTTCCCATAGAAACAGCAAGATCGACATATTTTTAATTATAAAAGATCCTGTCTCTTTAGCTTAAGCGTCATTATTCGTCATTATTTTATATAGTTGAGTTAATGTCCGATTTTATTTGTAACTAGTATTTTTTAAATAAATTAGTGTTTTTTTTAAAAAGTGATTTTAAAAGTTTTTGAGATAACATATATGTAGGTACAAATAGTGTAGGTATGTATAAGCAGTTTATGTTGCAAATGTCGTTGTCATAAAGTGATTTAGTTCAGTACCTACCTGATATCGCCTTTCTTTTCTGAACATTATTTTTTAGATGGAATTTTGTATTACATTAATTTAGAGGTTGCAAGTTACTTTTATATGTTCCCCCCCATACAATAAGGCCATATCGCAAGAATGATTCTACCAGCAATTTGTACACCAATATGATCATTCTAGTGCCGAGAAATTCTCTTAGAATATAAAATTTATGAATCAAGAAGCGACATTCCTTTGTTAGGTAAGATATATGGTCTACCCATTTTAAATGCTGATCAACAACTATACCCAAATATTTAGCTTTCTTCACTGCTGATATATGACTGTTCTTCTCCTTGCTTGTCTAAATTTCAATAAAATTAGGTCTATTTGCGCCTGTCAGAGAAAAGGCTATGTAATTAGTTTTGAATAAGTTGAGCGACAATTTGAATGAGTCAAGCCACTTTTTGACAATGCCAAAACCCCTCGACACTCTCTCACTATTGAAAATTAAAGGAGTTATATCCTTTACCTTGGAAAACAGTTGTTCGGGTCTCAAGCAAGCAAGTATCTTTAAAAGGGCTTATAGAAAAACACTCTAGCAGCTTTGAACTTTGAAGGATTATATATTAGGTTCTGATCAGCTTGCAAAAGACTTTACCTAAAGACGGAAAAAAAGAAGCCACTCCGAATCATCAAACTGACCATTCTAAACAGTAAAACAGTCTGAGAGCATTATCATCAGATACTCAAATATCTCGAGCCTAACCTTCTGGAACTACCGGACTGATTGATCACTAAGCCAATCATCCAAAGCTTGGCTACAAGTAATTTATAATTCACCATATCGAATCCCGTAAACAGAGTCTACCTGACAAGTGACAACCCCTACCCAAGAGTTGACTCCACATGTAATGAATAAATTGGGGACCTTCCGCAAAACTGTAATGATGAATATCAATGGAACCGCTTACATGACCAGCTTAGTTGATCATGCACCACCAAGGCTATCGAGAGAAGGCGGCATTGTGTAGATTATGTATTGTCAGAAAGTCGATTTGTGTGACCCCATGTAGCTCAAGAAGCAAGCGTTGATGAGAAGAAGTTACAGTTCTTATTCTTACACAATATTTGAACCTTTATTATATTTTATCGTATTATGGGATTGGTTTCTTTCCACCTAACAAAGTAGAATATAGTTAGGTGCTACCGTAGGCTGGCTTCAAGCCCAGAAAAAATTTGATAGCAAGAATGGTTCTCTAGTGTTCCATTAGGTACACTATTTTTTTGATCTATGCAAACAATAAGCCTTGAGAGTAATCACTTGAAAATAGTTATACAACCATCAATTATTTAAACATTAAACTACAAAACTAAACTTCCATATATTTTATAAAACTCAGGCTCAGCTCTAACATCTTTCAGATCAAAGTTTCTGCAACCATCAGTTTGCTACAGTATAGACTGTGGCTATAATAGAGAACATATAAGATTGCACGATAGCTATTCACGTTATCAGTGAGGTCTTTTGTGGGGTAGAATTTATTGAAAATCCAGTTTCTGGAGAACGATTTAGAGCGGGCCAAGATACCGAACTGAACAAATTGGAGGACGAACGAATAAAGCAATCCAACAAGACAAATTAGTGGTGGCCCATTCAAAATTTTGTGAAAAAGTATATATTATTTTTGTCTCGAGTTTTCTGATATTTTCAGCCATTCATCCTCAGCCGATTGCGAAACCAATTCAAGGGATTATTCTAGCCCTTAGAACAAAGTTATGAGTTATAAAGAGGGCCTAGAAAAGGATTAGGATTTCTTGTACCATGCTGTATATGAGGACATAAATCAGGCTGAAGTTTTGTTGAGGCTTTGAAGAATGAAATTTAGCTGGTGTGAAAATTTGAGAAACTGGAATGAAACGTGGGGGATGGGGTACAGCAGGACTACTTAAATCAATTATCTTAGGTACTACTATAAAAAAAAAAAACAAGGAAGAACCAGGCAATGAAGTACCAAAACAGGAGTTTATAATTTGAAGAAATGGAAAAATAACTACATGAGAATCAGTTTTTAATTTTTCAAATTACCTTGAAAAGTGGGAATTAAATCAAGTACATTGCTTACGTGAAGCACCCGTGGATAATAATATAGATTAGTTTGGCGTCAATCTGCGCTCAAGGTAAAAAAAAAAACGTAGTTCAAAAACATAAACAAAAATATATTTACAAAACAATAACAATAATTAAACTTTGGTATAGGACGGGGACTCTAGGTGTTTCTTCTCCATATCAATTTGCTTTATTCTTGCATAAGCGGCGCTGCCTGCTAGTATAACCATGTTTGACAACCACCATGTAAATGACTTGGTCTCTTGATACCAATAGGTCGCTAATACTGTTTGAGCGCATGCTTTGGCAGTGCCCGATATATTGTGCGTTAATGCAGATGTATACTGAAAAAGAAAAGATAGGTATAATGAATCACATATTTAACGAAAACAAAATCTGGGGCGAAAACATATCGAAGCAATAATTTACAACCCCAGGTTGCAATGGCAATTCACTCTTTGAATGCTTTAATGCTTTTATTGTAGCAGCACAAACCGCTCTGCCTACTCATTTGAATTCCCCGATAAGGACACATAAAAATTGTGGTATTTAAGCAGATTTTTACTTTGTTACTTATTTATTTATAATATTTATTATAACCTCATTAAAGAAACTTTGTTGAAATAAATAAAAATGTACTATTACCTTAATTTGCAAAGAAGTGAAAAATCCAATCATAAACCCACACAGGCCTCCGCCAAGTAGGATTGCCCAGAAAAACAGAGTGTCTAGGCGGGGATAAGTCAAAACTGTATATAGTTCTCCATTAATTAAAATAAGTGGTAAGAAGAGAATAGAAGCGTATACGTTATTTGCATATTGAAGTAGCCAAATTTCTCCATTCACTTTGGGTAAAGTTTTCTTAGTCAATATAGAGAAATATGACAGTGAAAAGGAACCAACTATGCCAAAAATAGTACCGGGTATGGACAAACTGCCTGAAAAAGATACATATGAAAATAAATATACAGTACTTATTACAAATAGTGTTTCTGAACTAGAAACCCCCATAAAACCTAATTTCTAAAAATTCAATTTTTGTATGCCTTATTTTATTTTATTATTTTTGGTGGCACCACCACCACCAACAACATCTCCCCAGAAAAGTTGAAGATACGAGAGAGTAAAGTCGCGATACTGTCAACATCGTATAACTTAAACCTCCAGATAACTTTTAAAGAGATTTTAAACCAGCAAAAATAATGGAATTGGATGAATTCCGTCTGAAGTAGGCACCATGTGCTGGAACATGTTACGGTTCCGTTTAAATAGAATTGTGGAAATCTAGAAACTTTTCTGTTTCCTTCCAAAATTTGTAATGGATTTCCATCGAGTATCCGCTAAATCGATCTAATTATCTACATAAAACTTTATTTTTTATTGTTCAAAATCAAAATTGGAAAAAAAAAACAACTTTTGAAAAAATTTAAATTAGGCAGGTATTTTTCTTTACAGTCCTTAGTAGCAAAAAAATTTATCACCTGCAAAATGCTCCTGATCTACTCCCAGCCAAAAACCACTAACAATAATGGCACAACAAACCATACATCTTTTAGACGTCCTTTCTCCCAAAATAAAGTAGGTTAGTAACACATTGAAAATGGTCGTCAATGACCTTCCTATATAGTAGAAAGCTACCGAAACGTACTTTAGGCACAAATTATTGGTAGCTATCATGGTTGTAAACATTATGGAGACTGGTAATATCTGGAAGAATATTATATTTGCTTTATATTTACAATTTGAATTAGTTCTTCTCATACACCACAGTAAACGAAGAAAAACAACAAATGACAATACAGGAAACTAGACTGAAGTGTGTCATTAATTATAATTATTGTTACCTGTCTAATTGTCTGTGGATCCCAGATATTCGGTTCGGGAAATTGAAACCTTTGCGGATACATTCTGCTCAATGTTTTCTTGCCAAAACATATCAAGGCAGTCACTAATGTCTGGCTTAAATTTATAAACATTGGTGCATCTAGTTCAATATGGCTTAAGAGAGTTTTATTCACAAAGACTGTGGATATGGAAACTATCCTGAAAATAATAATTTAGTTTTTTAACTCTACAGTACTTTGCTATATTATCGCCAAGAAAACACCAAAAATTAATGAAAAATTGATGTAAATTTAGTTCCAACATAGTTTTTATTCAGGTATATTTTGTTGCCTAGAAGAGGTTTGATTAAGTACTCAATCATTTAGAACAGGAAAGAAATAGAAGATTGCACATCATGTATGTCAAACGTTTTTTTAATTGTTTTTTTTTTAGCTAAACAGCCTAAGTACTTATTTACGTGCAAAATCCTTTTGTGTTAGCTTCTTTACTTATTTCAAAACAACTGGAAGATAATACCCATGCCCTGTGATCTCTAAGTGCAAGAAATAAACCACACATTACTTTGTCTCTCTCCTCTAGATACCGCTGACATCAACAGAAATTGTAAAAGGATAAGTCCAATGCAGATGACATTGACTTGACAATATTATGACAAAGCTAAGTTATAAGACTTCCTCAGGAATTTCAGAGTTGTTTTGTGTGTTTAACGTCACAAGGACTTTTCAAACTTGATAGATTGAAAGATATATCTATTTTAATCATGGTTGGTTAGATAAACGACAGGTTGAATTAAACATCAATCAGAGCTTTGAATAAAAATGTTAAAAGTACCCTCAACCGTCAATGAAAAAACTACTAGGGAGACTTGATCAAGCGATCAATTATCTCATACTTGATCTCATAGCATCTAGTTTTACAATTTTGCTAATATTTAATTTCAAGTTTTAGATGCTAAGTTTTTTTTTAACAAAAGGTAGTCTAGAGTACTTACAAATAGAGAAAGAACTAATAAACAATGCACTTAAAGAAGCATTAAAAAGACAAAGTGGCATTCAAACTGTAGCAAAAAAAATATGGAATGGATAGAATGATACCTCCAATGGCTCCAATGACACTTAGAAGATATACCGAGAGATATACCTATGCCAAAGTATCATTAATATCAAACAGTCCTGATACCTCAATGCCACTACAGAAAAAAAAATAATATTCACAAGGGACAGCGAAGAAGAATTTTCAAACTACGGGTCTGTTCGGGTTTGAGCGAGGGTTTGAGATAAGGACAGGTATAGAATGGTTCAAAACAATCGCACAGTAGTTTATCAATCAACAAAATGACAATGGCGCTCGACTATCACAAATTTCAATAATAAACTGTGCGATTGTTTTGAACCATTCTAGAACTGTCCTTTTGCCAAACCTGAACAGGCCCTAAATACTTCAAGTTCTGTAAAAAATTCCACCACAGTCCACAATAAATAAGATATGAGTGCTAGCTTATTATGAAATTGCTGTGAAAAACATTATTTCATGACCAAAAAAATGGGATGAACTTAAAATTTCTGGAATTGATTAAGTTCTTGGCTTTATGCGCTGCAACAATTCACTTTCCTCAAGGATTCCAGAGGCTACTAGCAGAGCTTCCAGCTTTGATCAACGTAATGGTGCAGAGTACAGAGTTTGATAGCAAGATATTTAATAAATCTAGAAAGAGCATGCTTTGAATAAGCTACCAATTATTGTGATCCTTTATTGAAGAGAAAACTAGCTGGATCTGCCTCCTAATAGTCCGAAAATAATATCTTAAGTGATAGGTAAATTCGAGGGTAAATTCTTAAATTATTTTGCGGAATAATAGCAAAAGAAACTAGTAGCCCGATCATCGGAATAGAAACAAAAACACTATCATTCCGATTATCGGACGAGCATCCAGTCCCTATTTTTAAGGAAGTAAAAAGTAATAACTTATTGGTGCTTCTTTGACATAGGTTCTGGTAACTCAGATACAGCAATAGCAGTCACTAAAAGTAGTAGGTAACTTTTGTAAAATATTAATTTTACCTGAAGCTCAATACCTACTTACCAATATCCACTAACTACTAGAAATATTGTAGTATATTTTGACAATAAACTACCATCAGAGCCCATTTTAGCCTTTCGAATTCAAAACTTTTGGTTGCTATTTGAGGTTTCACTGTTAATAATTATGCACAATTCAAGTATCGAAATGGGTTGAAAATATATTATACATCATCATAAAAATCCTAATTACATTTTTGTCAGGATTTTAAATAATTTCCAAAATTTGTTTTCGTGGCTTGAGTAAACAAAGAAAAGTAAAACGTAAACAGGATTTAACAGGAACACGAATACAAATTATTCTACCAAAACAACAAACTTTTTTAAGGTTATGTCTTGCGGTTCGGAGCGTTGGACTCGGCTCGACCCAAGGATAATACACACACTACTTCAGTGTCTACAGTGACTAAATACACCTTTACATGCATGGCGACGATAGAGGTCCCGCCGCTGATGTTAGATGTACCTAATAAGTACCCAATGATAGTCATCAAATACGTTGTTATCAATTTTTTATGATGGATGTCCATTTAAATCCTATATATTCTAATTCAAAATTATGATGATGTAGGCCACAAAATTGCGGCGTTTTCCATATGAATATATAGGATTTTAAAGAACCAATAAAAAATAACACTCCAATTGTCTCCACTATGGTTTAATAGAGTCACTGTACCACAGACTAGACTACAGATAGCCTCAAGCCTATCGTCATCATAAGGCCTGTGTGGAACGAATCTGAAGCTATCGACACGCGAAATCACCAGTTGTGACGTAGCATGTCGTTTCTCGCTTTGACGTTAGCTGTTTGCACTACGGTTATGATTTCGCGGGCTTTTGCTTTATGCAAACTTGGTTTTGCAATTAACATTCTAAAACAACTCTTTTTCCTCTTTGCTCATTATGTTAATCAAAATTAAATAATAATTTCTATTCTAAACTACGACCGCTAGTGCAAACAGCTGACGACTTATTTAATGACGTGCAAGAAGAAAATTTGGTCGTTGGATTGAAAATTATTTTCATGGAGCGATTTCATAAAGCGAGTTCCACTTTTTGGGCCGGGATTCCGTACCCACGATTCGATAGTAGCCGCTTTCCAGCTAACGTTTTTGAGCACGCAATCGAGCTTTTTCTCGCGCAAATGCTTCAAGCGCGTGTTCGTGTTCCAACCGTACAGCGCTTCGACAGCTGCTAACTTTTGCGTTTCAAACACAGAACACTGTGCTGCACCGGACTTGAAGCACACAGCTGGAAACCGGCTAAAATCGTCATGTTCTTGAGTATCGTCTAACGTAAGAGTCGCTTTCGGTTGCCACCCTCTAAACGCTCCCGAGCTACTCGGAAGTACTCCGGCTACAATTTGAGCCGTTCGAGTGAACAGAAATTGGCGCTCCTGAGCTGATCTCATTTCCTCGCCTCTTATACCCCTGGCCGGGGTTTCTAAAATCACGATTCGACATACGACTCGACATCGAGACGATTTTTCCGAGGATTCTAGGTTAGAAATCTCATTGGAATTATACCTTTCGAGACGACAAGGCCGGTATCGTTGTCGAGTCGTGTGTCGAATCGTGATTTTAGAATCTCGGCCCTGAAAGAATCTTCCATTTTAATGGTTGCGTCACGTTCTGGGCAATACGGTTTCAAGCGTTCGAGTGCAAAACGCATGGGGTATAACGGGTGTGAAGCGTTCTAGGAGCTGCGCACTCTGCACTCGAAAGCAGATTAGGTACTTACTTTTGCACGAGTTTATTTGGTTAGACAGTGCACTTCCTTTGATTTCACGGCCGCGTTTGGGTTCACGCTCGGTGCACTTAGAGGTTGCACTTTTGTCGCTTTTCTGTTATTTTTGAAACTCCGACGAACTTATGGCAGCCGTAGAAGTGTTTAGGACCATTATGTTTATTTAGCCCGTCACAATTTTAGCAGAACACAAAAGAAAATAGGGCTGTTTGAAAAATATCGACTAAAATAAAAAAACATGCTAGAAGACTCCGGTAAAAATGCGGAATACGGACTCGGACTCTATAGACATATCCTAAAAAAAAAGAAATAATCAGCTGATCGCTCAGCCCAGCCCTTTTGCACTAGTTTATTTGGCTTGACAGTCGTACTCCCTGTGACGTCACGTTATACGTAAACGCACTGCTCGCTCCGCCGAGGGCGCCGAGCATCAACCCAAACACGTCCCACGTCACTGCGTCATCGCTCTGCTAGCTCCGCCAAGCGTCAACAAGACACTTTTTAGTTGTATTCCTTTCAAGAGTTTAGAGAGCACTAGAGCTGCTCGCTCTGGTGTTAGTTGACCCTAGTGTTGTTAAATTCTCGAGAATATTTAATAAAAAAAATAGGTATTCTCTGAAAATATTCGTGACACATTAAATTTATAGGAAATATTGAAAATTTATGGAATTTATTAGAATATTCACAGATTTGAAAAAAATTCGGACATTTAACATATATTTTGGATATTTAAGAAATATATTTCGGATACATAAGAGATATTTCGAACATTTAAAAAATAGGTATTTCCGGAATTTGAAAGATTCTAATTCATAAAACTCTATATGAACTTTGGGGATCCGGTACCGTGATAGTGATATATAGTAGGGGATAATACCTGAATAAATAATTTATCTACAAATGTTTGGTTATGACGTTTTTCCATAGCCATTTTTTTATTATTTGAGTTATGTCATGAGACTCATAACACAGCTAGTGGTGTTATGGACTAGGTTATGAATTCATAACACAACTAGTGGTGCTATGGACTAGGTAATGAAAATCTATAGCACAACTAGCTTTTGTGATTTGACATTTGACAAATGTCATAGTTCAGTCACCTCCGGGCTGGTTTTAACTCCAGGCTAAGCGTGTCCAGTTGCTATATTTACCCCAGATTTATGCTTAACCCGGGGGTGACTCAGACTCACTATTGAGAAACCGGCCATAATGGTGAAATGAAGGTAGACAACTACTAAAAAACGAAAATTGAACAAAACATTTTGTTACTTTTCGCTTTGTAGATAAATCGTTGGACAGCACACTTGCGTTTGAACATGACTACAAAACTCGTGTGATTAGAATGACTCGGTCTACGACATTATCGTTCTAATCTTCCACACTCATTATTGTAATCATGTTCATAAACGCACTTGTAATGTAAATAACTCTTTATGTATTTATAGGCTATGCTATAGGTAGTTATTTTTCTATTTAATAAAATATTTCCCTCATTAATGGCCGTTTTCACGACCATGTTAAGGGAGGTTTAACAATAATCAACGTTTAAAGTGACATTTTTACATGTGAAAATGTCACTTTAAACGTTGATTATCGTTAAACCTCCCTTAACATGGTCGGTGCAAACGGCCATAACATAAACAAAATAAAATACAGAGATTCATTTCGAAATAACAAAATAACTAAAAATAGTCCTAAGTATAGTCTATACTCAAGAATCGTGTTTATGCCCCTATAATATCGGAGTTATATTTGGACGGATTGATTTTTCCTAGACACTTTGTCTGGAGGAGATTAATGGCCGTTTGCACCGGCCATTTTGAGGGAGGTTTAACGATAATCAACGCTTAAAGTGACATTTTCACATGTGAAAAACGGAAAGTTTGAACAACACTGCACTAAACGCTAACTATAGGTCTGTTCTCACAGAAATCACAAAACAAGTCTGTGATTTCTGTGAGGTAGTTTTGTTTTTCCGCGGAACCGTATAAAATATCCTGTGAGTACTTTCCAAATCTAATAGATCATCAAGCAAAAAGGAAAAGTTACACCGCCACTATCACTTGGTTGCTGGAAAATTCTCGTTCAGACACGCTAAAAAACAGCAACCCAATCAAATAAAACTTTCAATTCGCCCACATACAATCGTGAGCATTACAAGTGGGACACTCGACTGACAGGTCTTGTAATTTTTCGCTATTTTGGGTAAACCAGACTTTTCTCTACAATGGATTTTTGGTCAAATATGACAATCCCTGTCATTGCCGTAGGTATAGCTGGTGAGCTCGTTAGTAAAAATCGGGTGTCCCACTTTTAATGCTCACGACTGTACCAATTCGCCAATTAGTTAGGGGAGCGGGTGGGAATGGCGCTCACCTAAGCTAAAACCTTTTTTTTTGTGACTTATTTTCATCAGAGAACTTTGGAAATTTATTTGAGTAAATAATATTTATTGTTTTATCTTTTAGTCAAAAAATCTTGTCTGAAATTAATTTAATTTGCTAGTTAGAACAAAAAAATGTAATAGGTGCTTTGAGCGCAATTGCCCACACCAGTGGGGTAATAGCGATCAATATTTTTCAGGTAGGTTCTTGATACAAATTAAAGCTATAGCTACTAATATTGAGATATTTATTGAAAAAATCGACAAAACAGCCAATAAACTCAAAATAAACATAAAATAAACGCAAAATAAACTCGAAATAAACTCAAAATAAACTCAAAATAAATTCACAGCTTCTATGGCGGCCATCATTGCTTCTGGAGACCATTGTGCTTTAGTTGTTGTCCTTTTTCTATTTCGAACCATCTGAAACCAAAATAGTTATGAATTATTAATTATAATTATCCAGGTTAACAGCCAGATATTCATAGGAGCAATGGCGCTCGGTAACGGGGTAATCACGCTCAACCTGAGCGGCGAATTGCCCCAAACTTCAATTTTTAACAAAAATGGCGACATACTTTTTTTGGTTAAAATAAATCAACGATGTTTATACTAAACTACTCCCAAGACATGCCCCATCAATTTAATAAATGATACAAAACCCCAAAATAACGTTATTTCAACTTACCTCTAGATTTACGAAACACAAATATTAGATTGAAATCGTCAAACTACACGTTTTTTATCAAGACCGCCGCTTGACGCCAGATATCGAAACAGGAATGGCGGCGATTAGTTCGGAGGGCTAAAAAGAGGGGATGACGTCAAGCGGAATAGTGAATTCGACGGGGTTAAGGTAGAAATGAGGTGAGCGTCATTCCCCACTGAGCGCTATTCCCACCCGCTCCCCTAATATTGACCAATTGGAAATATTATCGAGCGGCTCGCTGTTCACGTTATGAAGTACCCAATATGCAAAGTATTGTGTTCACAAAACCGCTTTGTTCACTTATACGAGTGTTCGTATTATAGAGCGTGTACTGTATAGAACAAAACCTTGAATAAACAAAATGTCCACTGTCAAAAAAAAAACGCAGGTATGGGTACTGAGAAAAATTTGCGGAATATTTTTGGCGTAATTTTGA